GCAGTGAAGGTCATGGCAGCCATTTTGATGTGGGCGGCTCCCCACAAGAGTCCAGCGATGTAACCGGACACTTTCAAAATACAGGAGAGGGGCTGGCAGGTGGTGTGGTGGTTGGAGCGCTGGACTCTCACATGGCTGACTGTGGGTTGAGTCCTGGACCTGGCAGCTTGCCTTCTCTCTCTCTCTCTCTCTGGTCAAATAAAAATAAATAAATAAAATTAAATAAAAATAATTCTCAAAATAAAGAAGATTCAGTGAGCCCCTTTTGTGCCAGTGTCCACTCTGACATAACGTAAATATTTGGTGAGCGCTAACTCGTGTCTTCTGGGCCTAGTTTCCTTCAAGGCGTGGATGTTGTGATACTGAATTATAAATACACACTACTCCCACTGGGAAGAAGTCCTGGTTCCAAGAGGTCTGGGAGCCTCTTGTCCAGCAGGGGCCTTCCTACCCTCTGGCTGCTGCCCCGGTGTTGGTGAAAAGGAAAAGATTATCAGGTGCATGAAGAATGTGTTGCATGGGGCCGGCAGGTGGTGGGGTGGTGAAGAGTGCTGGACTCCCATGTAATTGACCTTGGTTCGAATCCTGGACCTGGCGGCTTACTTTCTCACTTCACCTCTCTCTCTCTCTCTCTCTGTTCCTTTCTGGTCAAATGAAAATACATAAATAAGTAAAGTCAAATAAAATAATTCTTTAAAAATATATGTTGCAGACGAATTTGCATTTGATAGACTTGCTTTTTGGGACAATTAGGAAAAAAAAGAGAGAGAGAGAGAGAGAGAGAGGGAGAGATGAAGGAGGGGAAGAGGAGCAGAGGATAAGAGAGAATTTATCCATAACCCTATGATAGGAAGAAATTTACTTCAGTTTATAATCTCTGGGGATTATGAGTGTTTAGGAAAAGCTACTGTCTTTTCATCTATATTTTTTATTTATTTCTTTAGAGAGATTTTTGCTATAGTGCATGTGTGCTCACTGGAGAAACAGAGAGAGACAGAGAGCCAGAAAGTGAGAAATCACCCCCCAGCAGGGATGACCACGCCACAATCCCTTCTCCATTCTCCTCTGGGGGTTTTGGGCACTCATACACACATGCCTGGCATTATTAGTTTTAAGTCAGTGGGTCTGGGACTCAAACTGTGGTCGACTATGTAAGAGTCCAGCAATGTAACCATTATGCCATCTGCTAGTCCCTGTCTTTTATTTTTAATTTCATATATGTATATATATATATGTATATATACATATATATATATACATATATGAAATTAAAAATAAAAGACAGGGACTAGCAGATGGCATAATGGTTACATTGCTGGACTCTTACATAGTCTGAACCACAGTCGGCTACATGGGAGTTCAGCAACATAGCCATTATGCCAACTGCTGGTCCTGTATTTTATTTATTATTTTTTAAAGAATGATTTTATTTCACTTATTATCATCTTTATTATTTGTTTAATTTGACGAGAGTGAGACAGAGAGAGAGAAAGGGAAAGTAGGAAACAAGCCTCCAGGTCCAAGATTCAAACGGTGGTAGGCAGGTGGGAGTCCAAAATCTTAACAACCACGGGCACTTGCTGGGCTGGGAAACGACTCGAAGATAACAGCAGCATGTCTTCCCCTGGCACTGTTTTAAACATATGACATGTGTTAACTTATTTAATTCTCAAAATAACTCCATGAGGTTAAGTGTCACCAATTATTACTGAGTTCTTAGGAGGCTGCTTTAAGATAGGTGGAGAATGGGGCCAGTAGGTGGCGTGGTGGTTAAGGACGCTAGACTTCCCCCCACCACCACACACACACACACACACACACACACACACACACACACGCCCGCCCCACCGCCGGTTGAG